ATGTTTCTACTGTGTTTTTCCATGTTTTACTTCAAAGCTTACCACTGTTTTAGTAGGTTTATGTTTAACCCTCAGGTAGATGTTTTAGCAACAATAACATATTTTTGAGGGCACTCTGAATCAGATTTGTTGTTCACTGAGATATATTATCCATGTCAAGCTTTTCTTAAGATTTTGTTTGTTACTATAATAACTTAATAAAGTTATATATGATCCATCTGTGAGGAGATAGTCCAAAATGTTTGTGCATTGACAAAACGACAGATGGTTCTTCTGATCACAGATTGAACAATGGCGCCATCTCCAGCTTTTCACCAGGAAGTGCAACACCTCACTTAATTTGATTTAGTTTATTTGGGAAGTAAGCTGTATGATACCCACTTTGTTTCGTTTTTTCAATTGTATATTGTCAATATAAATAATATCACACTTTATAATATTTTTTTCAAACATGGTGTTTCAATTATTGTAAAACAACACAATATTGGGCTTAGGTTTACCTGTCAGTTCAGTTGAAGCCCCAAATATTTCAGATTGATAAAGGGAAATCAAGTTTTAAAATGATTGTGCTGTTGAAATTGAGCACATTTTTTTGTTTGGTCTCATCACTTACCATTTGAAGTCAGACACTATGGATCAAACAATTGTCACGAAGAGTACATTTCCTTTTTTGTGACCAACTCTTTATTGTTTTCTTTCTTTTCTTTGTTTTGCCCTCACAGAGGGACTTATATACACGGATACAAATTATATAGACAATAATGCAAAAAGAAAAGACAAAGAAAAAATATAGGGAATCCCTTTCCCATGCCACCCCGTCCCTCCCCCTTCCCACCCATCTTGCCATTTCACAGAAAATCCTACCTGATGTTTGTTAGCAATCGTCTGAGTTCATCTATCTATTATATTATATATATTATTTATGTTATTGCAAAACAATTNTATCTCCTTAACATCGCGTAACCACAATCACCAATTGATACTGTATAAAATGATACACAGATATTACCTTTCAACCAGAAAATGCTGTCAATTAAGGATGATTCCAAGCCCCATATGCCTTCTCTGTAACCAAAAGACTATTGGCACATATGTACACATGGTTTATGAATGTAATAATAATAATAGCTTGGATTTATATAGCGCCTTTCAAGGGACCCAAGGTTGCTTTACAAGTAATAGGGCAAAAAACAAACGTAACAAAACAAAAAGTCAGACAGGCAAAACCACAGATCGATTTAGGGGCCGAAAGCCTTGACAAACAGATGGGACTTGAGGGCCCTTTTGAAGGCGTCGAGTGTGGGGATGTTGCGAATCTCCTCAGGGAGAGCGTTCCAGAGGGTGGGGGCTGCCACACTGAAGGCTCTCTCCCCGAAGGTTCGCAGTTTGGTGCGGGGGGTGGTAAGCAGGCCAGAGTCTGAGGACCGCAGGTTCCGGGGTGGGGCATGTGGGTGAAGGATGTCCGATAGGTACTGGTGGGCATGGGCATGGAGGGACTTGTAGGTGAGGAGGAGGACTTTGTAGGATATGCGGGACTTGACCGGCAACCAGTGCAGGTGGATGAGGGTGGGAGTGATGTGCTGCCACGGCTTTGTGTGTGTGAGTACCCTAGCAGCACAGTTTTGGACATACTGGAGCCTGTCCAGGGTTTTGTTGGGAANTGGTTTATAAATGTACTGCAGTAAGAACGTTCTGGAAACAGGTTATTGACACAATATTTGGGAGACAGGGTATGTGAACTCCAATAATCTCAGATACAATGTCAATAACCTGTTTCCAGAACGTTCTTACTGCAGTACATTTATAAACCATGTGTACATATGTGCCAATAGTCTTTTGGTTACAGAGAAGCCATATGGGGCTTGGAATCATCCTTAATTGACAGCATTTTCTGGTTGACAGGTAATATCTGTGTATCATTTTATACTGTATCAATTCTCTTCCAATTAATAGTCTGCGTATAATTTTTTAGATCTGCGTTCCATACTGCAGAGATGCCAATATATCCGCTTAATTTATCTTGCAGTTTTTTATATATATATTAAGTAGTGCCGCTCACACTGTTTGGACTTAATATGACCTTAACTAATTGATTTGTTGGCAGAGGTTGATTCCAAGGAACTCCATATGTGCGCATGGCAGTACGTAGTTGCAAATAGAAAAAGAAAGAAGAGCCAGGCACATTATACGTGTCTTTCAATTCTTGGAAGGACATCAAGCCGTTGTCGTTGGTTATGTCAGAAAGATAATGTATTCCTCGAGTTTGCCATTGTGGGAATTGGATTGCTTTTTTCCCAATACGTAGTAACAGGTTATGAAAAATGGGTATGTTACTATGCCAATCTACAGACCAATTGCACAATTTCTCCACATGTTTCCACACTTTTACGGCTTGCCCAATAATTGGTCCAAATATTTGCATACAGTCATATGGCGACATGGCAGAAAATAAGACATCACCAAGTTTAAAGGGATAGACTATACTTCTTTCAATTTTAATCCAAGGTACAGTACATTGGTGCTTTCATCAATCCAGTTTTTCAAGGCTTGAAGCGTGAAGGAATAATAATAGAGCTCGAGATTGGGAACATTAAGGCCTCGACTGTTTTTGTCATATTGTAGAACTTTGTATCTGATTCTTGGGTATTGGTTTTTCCAAATATATTTTGAAATCCTATTCTGAAGTTTACCCCAAAAACCGTCTGGTGGAGATAAAGGTAACATACTAGCGAAGAAATTGGCTCTTGGTAGAATATTCATCTTTATGATTTAAATTCGTCCTGCTAAAGAAATTGTTATATGAATCCACTTTGTTAGGTCATCTTTAATTGTTGTGTACATTCTTTTTTCGTTCTTTGCTACTATTGTGTCTAATGAGGCATATATATCGATTCCCAAATACTTAAAGTGTTGGACGATCTGCAATTCTGTATTTACGTTTAGTTCAACCTTGGCACTATTGAGGGGTAAAAGACATGATTTATTCAAATTGATCTTGTAACCAGGTATTGAACTAAATTGGGTAAAGATATTTAACAGCTTAGGAAGCATAGTTGGTACCTCGTCCAACTACAGTAGATCATCCGCACATAACGAAATGTTGTGGTCTGTCTCTTTTACAACTTTCTGTTTTACTTCTTTGGATAGTCTTATTTTCTGTGAAACAGAAGTGCGGAGACAGGACAACCTTGCCGTGTGCCATGTAGAATTGGAAATCTAGGTGACCACTGATTGCCTGTCAGAACCATAGCACTTGGATTATTATATAGGATCTTCAACATAATCATAAATGTTGCCCCAAAACCCATTCTTTGCATTGTATGCCACAAAAATGGCCATTCTAGCCTGTCAAAAGCTTTTTCAGCATCAACTGATAATACGGGGCAAAGCAATGTTATGTCTGCTGCAAAATGAATAACATGCAGTAGTCTCCTGATATTATCTGATGAGAATCGGTTTTTCATAAAGCCTGTACGAAGAGTAGGCTACATTTAATAAATAAACACACAGCAATTGTCCGCTTGTAAGATGAATCTGTATTAAGTACACTGGAAGAGACAGCCTTGCTGTAGCACTAAATTATTAACATGTAAGAAAGAAAAGAAAATGGGCCTGAACCTCAGTTGCTTGCTGACAATGTCAATATAAACTAAACCAAACCAAAGTGTCTTCTTGACGTCGATTTTACACAAGGACTCTGATTTTGAATCAAAGAACAACCATTTTTTATTTGGCCAGTGATTACATTTCAGCATAAGTATATTACTAATGTGTGTGTTTATTTGACATCACTAGACTGGTTTACTTTATTTTTTCCATTTTCGATACTGAAAACAAATATTGTTTTCAAATATTTCATCCATCTTTGTTTTCCTGCTCAGGTTAGCATGCCTCAGAGTCAAAGTAAAGACCTCAGCCTAATGTTGAATCTGCTCCATACAATCAAAACACTGAATGTGTGAAATGTGAGCGTTTAGTTACAACTATAATGTCTAAACAGAAACTGCGACGGAGTTTGACTTGTGATACAACAGCATAAGACATGTATTTAAAGAAAGCCATTATAATAATAATAATAATTTCACTGCTGAATAATGCAGACAGCAGCAGGAAAGGCCCGTAGGCAGCAATTAAACAATATACCAATCAAAGTGCTTGTGGCATTTCCAGGAAGAAGGAAAGGGTGAAGAAAAATGCATCAAGGCAATGCAACCAATGCAACTGATAAGAAAGGCTTCCGGTTTAACGTCCTCGCCTTCAAAATAAGATTAAACGTTTAGAAATCAGAACTTAATAATTTAACTGAATTAAATTTAGTAGTTAAAGTTATGCACTGTCAAAGCAAACTGTCCGTTGACAGGATGCCAGCATTGAAGTATGTCATATTTAAAATATATATTTCCACGTCTACAATGAGACAGTTGTTGTGTCAGTTTTGATTGTTAAATCTTCCTGAATTATTTTTGTTTTATCAAATGAGGACATGAAGAAAGAATCAAGGCGTTTCATCAGGACATTTTTGCCTGAGGCCCCCATAGCAGTTTAATATGTTCATGTCTGCAGACTCTGCACAAGATAGAATAAGCCTTTATCGATCCAGGAGGGAATTATGTTAATAAATGATAGAAATATGAAAAGAAAGAAAGTAAACAATTTTTTTAATAAGATTGGAAGTAAACATCAAAAACTATTCAGAAGCAATTAAATACAAAAATAATGCTGTTGCAGCATTCCCAGGTCAACACTTCTTCTGTCAATAGAGAAAGCCGCTCAATTGCCAATATCACATCTGCATGCAGCGTTGAGAGGGTTTCAGTCTTTATAAACTCAGCAAGAAGAACAATCATCAAACAACTATCTCCCACGTTAGGCTACATACTTATTTAATATGTATAAAAGTTTTAACACATATTGGATCAGTCAGTTCATTAGGCAGGCACCTCCATGTCTTCTTTAACTGTGTCATTGCGACTCTTGTTTTGAAAATCAAAGAGCGGAAGTTGCACGTTGATCGCGGTCAGTCCAGCAGCAGGAACTTTCTCTACGTTCCTTCATAACAACATGGACTGGAATGAGGGCGATAATGTGAGTCGGTTTATGTTTCTTTCGTTATTTCTGATGCTTGTATTGTTTCTGTTTTACCTGGTGGAGAACAACCTAACGTAGTGTACCCTAAACACATCACTAGTATCGGGTTGTTAGCATTTCCTAGCTAGCTTTTTGTAATTCTTCCTGGTCGGTAAGTTGCTGTGACGCGGACTAACCTGTCCTCAGTGATACTCATCGGCTCAAAGGAAGCTGCTGTCAGTCTGCTAGCTTCTGTGGCCGTAGTTAGCATGCTGCTAGTTACCTGGCGGTTAACAGCAGCTAGCTAGCTAATCTCTCCTACACTCCAAATATCACATTATGCTTGCTTTCTTCGAGTAAAGGCATCCACTTCAGGGAATGTGTGTTTAATTTCTCTGGATGTCATGATGATGCATTGACAGCCAAGGCGTGTTTTTAACAAATTATCTGCTAGTTACCTTTCTGTTCTTCTCCTATTGTTACGAAACAGTAATCCTCTCTCACAGTTTAATTCTGGGCTGTTTCTGACGGTCGCTAGCTGCTGTTGTTCATCCAAATCCACTTGTGTTTATACTATTACAGCTAGATAGAGGTTAGCCTAGGGTTGCATATCGTTGACTTTTTTACGATATCGATACCACTGAATGATACCGATACTCAACCGATACATATCGTGATACTTTCATGTTGCATAAGGGAAACATTGTATCATCCTGCAATTACTCCCATGAAGCGCTTTATGATGTATTTAACATGTGAAATTAATATTAAATTCAATTGTGGGACATGGACCTCTTAGTACTGAACAAATGAAGAAAAACACGTTATCTATGAAGAAAACAGATTCTGCAATATCATTTATAACAACCATCAGGTGTAAATAGTACATCTTGTCCATGCAGAAATACAATAGCACCAGTATAATCAATATTCGACCTGAAATTCGACTGACCAGAGAACACCTAAAGGATCATGATATATCGGCATTGCACATAAAACAAATAGCATCATTAAAATCAACATTTGCCTGATGAAAGAAAACAAATCCCATCACAGTTCAGTTTTGTGCATTCATCTTCAAGAAGATGAGCATATCTGCTCTCTGGATCCAAACGGGCCCTTTCACAGCGTAGCATATCACCTGCTGAACTGAACACTCTCTTGCTTGGCATGCTGCTTCCCTGAACACAAAGGTACTTGGTTGCCATACGAGACAGCATTGGTTGGAGGTTGGATGTGTTGCCACCTTTCCCAGAAATAAACTTCTTGCAGTGGTTACAGACCCCAACATTCAGACTGGCAGTCATATGCAGCCACACTTTAGATTTTCTAAAGTGACTCGTTTGCGGAATTTCACTGCGAAATTGTCATCGTCATTTTGACGGTTTGGGCGCAAGTTTAAGGATATTACGCCTCACTTTTATAAAAAAGCCAGTAACAGTATTTCGGTAATACCGGGTACCGAATGATTCATCAGTTGTATTTAACATCCAATATGTGAAAACTACAACATGATCACTATTTTTACACAGGGACACCTTACAAATGCATCTTCAACCTTTGAGTAGTTGGGTGACCAGTGGGGGGGCCCCAGGAGTCTGATTGCGTAACTGGCTAAATCAATAACCCTTATTATAAATGTCAGTTTAAGATTGCCATGTAGACCACTTTGGACCTTATATGTGTGTTTTCTTTGTGTATGTGTTGCAGGATCACGGCAACATGCATGACAACTGTAACCACGGAAATACAGGTCATTCTCACAGTCATGGGCCCAGAGCGCCGCACCCCTTCATGACGCCTTTTCAAGGACAGTTCGCTAATAAAGCTGATCAGGCGATGGACATCAGCCAGCAGCCGAAGAGACGCTCACACATGGACGAAAGCGCCAGCTTGGACATAGTGAAAGCAACACAGTGAGTGGAGGGACATCTCTGTCAACTGGTGGACACTCATGAAGTGATGGAATGAATTCATGCAGTTTTCTTTGAAATAAGTTTGGCTGAATTGTCGCTTTATATCCAATTTTAGAACAAGACCAAATGCCAGATTTTCTATCAACCATCAATCAATCAATCAATGTTTATTTATATAGCCCAATATCACAAATGTTACCATTTGTCTCAGTGTGACTTCACAGTTTTGTACCAGATATCAGTATGACAATACGACAACTCTCATGTCCTTGAGACCTCACATCGTACAAGGAAAAACTTCCAGAGAAAACCCACAGTTTAAAGGCGATAAAATGGGAGAAACCTCCAGGGAGAGCAACAGAGGGAGGGATCCCTCTCCCAGGACGCACAGACGTGCAACTAGATGCCGTGTGTTTAATTGAAAAGATAATACATTTGCAACATAGGTTAGTCCAAATGTTTTGGAAATCATGTGTGTATAATAGGAAGATGAATCCACGAGGGGATATCCATCCAGACTTATGATCCAGGACCACAGCAACAGCACAGCCACCGACTCAAGATCAAGGACTCGGGCGACTCCATGACACGCAGGACCGGCAGGATTCATCATGCTCCCGCGATCCCGGCGTTATATAGAACACCAAAGAAAGAATTTGGGAAGCTGGGTTAATCGGAACATGGAGTACCACAGTATGACAGAGAGAGGGAGAAGTAAGATGCTCCCGGCGAACAAAACTAGCCCGTATATCAGTAAAACTAGGGGCTAGTCTACATCAGCCTAACTAAAGCTTTTCGAGGAAAAGAGGATATTATATCTCGTCACATTCGATTTACAACAAATCTATGTAGAACTTGAGTGCGTGCTCACGGTGATAATCCCGCACTTTCTTGCGATAGCTGTGAACTGCCTTCCACAATGATAGTGTGCAGCTTTAATAATACAAAGAGCTGTCTCTATAAGTACTTTTACACTTTATGTGTGAGTGCTAACCTATACAACCACTGACATCTTTGATACCGCATGCCCTAGTACAGGGGTCCAACCGCGGCGTCCCTTAAGCCCTCTGCTCTGGCTCCCCTGAGCTTAGACAAGAAAATAAGGGAAGGAAATAAAATAAAAGTATTTGGTAGGAACTATTTATTATTTGTGTTGCAAAATCAGAGTTGAAAATGTTACGTATCTTGTAATTGTGAGTGGTTCTCTGAATACTAGTGATCACTCTAAAGTGTATATTGAGCAAACATCAACTTGTAAGTATCATGTGTGTAGTACATATTAATATGCTATCCCAATCCTGTCGTACCCGGTACTTTCACGGCTCTTGCGCCTTTTCCATATGGTGTGTTGCAAGCATAAGCTCGCAAGTAACCAAGGGGACTCTTATCACTGGCAGAGCAAATCCAGCTATTTATTTATGGATCCATATTCTTAGACATTTACCGGCATCTTTTTCTGCTTTGAACCCTAGTAATTATTGACTGTTTACAATAATGAGAGGAACATATTTTTTAGGTGGCATAATAAGTTAAAAGCCTTTTTTTAACAACATGCCCACTGCTGCGCTGACATTTTCTTTGTTTTTTCGTTAGCAAAGGTTTCTGAGCTGGAGATTACTTCGGAG